CTATTGTCCCAGTGGACACCAGTTAACCCTGTTGACCCTGTTGACCTTGCTGGATGTTAGTTGACCCTGTTGACCCCAGAACTGTGCATGTGATATAAAGGGCCTCCCCTGCTTCCTGTCAGGCACATGCTGATGGAACCTCAGAGTCCAGTTCCTAAGAGAACTTGGACCTATCGTAACTTGGACTGCAGGTCTCCAATGTAAGGCATCTAATTCGTGTGATGCCTCCAACATACAGCATACAGCATTATCCCAACCCTGCTGAATGTGTCTGAAAGCAACTTTTTTACTGAGAACATGCAGGTATGGTAGATAGTCTATGGATAAGAGGCTGCAGAGAGGTTGCACCGTAATTTCTTCTGGCGACAACATGGCTTCAGAATCTAGGGCCTACGGCACCAGCAGCCAGCTCAACCTAAATGCATGCTTACAGAAGGACCTTATGCATATGGCCGTCCACATCACAAGCTACAGAACTACCGTAGCATACATCTACACCTGCACTGTACGACATGTGGCCGTAATTGCAACCGGTACAGTATGGCCAGCCATCCTCCCCAACTCAATCCTACAACCCCTGTTGTGTACTCTACAATGAGTCAGCTCAGCTTCAAGCAGCTGCTGCAGTGCAGCAGCAGTGTTTGGTGGGGATGATTTACCCTAACGTTCAGATTGAATCCTTGCACTGCAATGCCTTAGCCAAGTGTCTGACCGCCGTAACTCGCGCTGCGCTGCAGCCGCTGTTGAAGCTACTGGCATGAAGCTAGAGAGCAAGGCTTTCTGCTAGTGCGGTTACAACCGTCAAACAGCAACATCCGGTCCGCCAGCAGCGCTCTCTACTGCGCGGCTACCGTATCATACGAGCTGGTTTTTGAGAATTCTCAAAAACCTGCTACCGTATCACACCACCCCTGGCCCTACGTGCGAGCAGACGACCAAGAACCGAGTGGAGAGACCGTCAGGGAACACTGAAGCGAGCTATCTCAGAGCAGAACAGAGCAGACTAGGGCAGAGTGGAGTAGAGCAGAGCAGAACGCCCGTCACTGCAGTCGCAGCGCCACCTCTGCATGCCCCACCGGCTCCCCTTCCACCCAGAAGAGCACAGCACCGCACAGCAGAGCAGAACGCCCGTCACTGCAGTCGCAGCGCCACCTCCTGGAGCAGCGCTCGCTTCTGTGAGGCAGTGATGACTCCCCTGGCTGTGAGTGCATCCACTGCCTCGCTCAGCACCGCCGCTGCATGCCCCACCGGCTCCCCCTCTGTCCTCCGCAACATGAACGCCTGGGGGGTGGGGGAGGGGGAGGGACAGATGGGGGAAAGTGGGATGACTTTGAACTTGACTCAAGAGTTCAACACCGCTGTCACATGACCCACCGGCTCCCCCTCTGTCCTCCGCAACATGAACGCCTAGGATGGAGGGAGAGAATGTGAGAATGGGAGGGAGGGAGCGAGGTGGCGGGGGGAAGGGGAGAGGTTACTTTCAGTGAAGCACAACACTCGAGATGTGCGAGGATGAATAAGCATGGGTGAAGATGGGTAAGTCTGGGCGAAGATGGTGAGTAATGAGCGAGGATTGGCAAGCATGTGCATGAATGGGCATGCACGAGCATGGAAGGAGGAGGCACCTGGGAGTGGTGTGCGATGTGAATGGTAGCGGGCGCCTGCAGCCATGGCTCTAAGTCGATCTGCTCTGCACGGGGAAGGCTTTTGAGGTGCCTAGAGGGCGCGGGGCGGGTGAGGCAGAGGTCGCTAAGGGGCGCAGGGCGGAAGGAGTCGGTACCTGGGAGTGGTGAGCGATGTGGATGGTGGCGGGCGCCTGCAGCCATGGCTCCCCATCGATCTGCACGGGGAATGCCTTTGAGGTGCCTAAAGGGAGTGGGGTGGAGGGAAGGCACACCTGGGAGTGGTGGGCGATGTGGATGGTGGCGGGCGCCTGCAGCCATGGCTCCCCATCGATCTGCACGGGGAATGTCACGGACGTGTGGATTCGCACTGACCGGCCCTGCCCCAGGCGAATGGCTCGTGACAAGCCCACCTGGGGATGGGGGAAGGGAAGTAAGGGGGCGAGGAAGAGAAGGAAGGAATGGGGAGGGAATGTCTTTTAGGGCGCATCAAGATTTCACACCGATTGGCCCTGCCCCAGGCGAATGGCTGGTGAAAGGCCCACCTGGTGAAAGGGGAATGGGAGGAGGAGTGGGGATGGAGGGATGAATGGAGGGATGAATGGAGGGATGGATGGAGGGATGGATGGAGGGATGGATGGAGGGATGGATGGGTGAAAGCGTGGTGGGAAGGAAGTTGACGGACGTGTAGGTTTGCATCGCACCAACCGGCCCTGCCCCAGGTGAATGGCTCGTGATAGGACCACCTGAGGACGGGGACGGGGATCAGGGAGGGGAAAGGAGGAGACCAGGCGCCGCAATGCAGATGCCCACCACCTCCACTCCACTCCACCTGTCGGTCGTGCATCAGCTGCTTCATACGGCGCCTCCATACAACATGACCTCAACATGAAGATTTTCAGTAGAAATGCACTTTACAAGACGCTTAAAGCCACACCTGCAGCTTGCCGAGATGCCATGCTCCGCATATGCCCACCACCTCCACCTGCCGGTCATGCATGAGCTGCTCCCTAAGCACCTGTTACGTGCTCCCAACCGACACCTCTCCCCCACCTGCAGCTCACCCAAGAAACATCATCTCGCCCCCACTCACTCACCTGCAGCTTGCCCAGGTGCCAGGCGCCGCAGATGCCCACCACCTCCACCCGCCGGTCGTGCATGAGCTGCGGTGCCAGCCCGTCATCCAGCTCCTCCTCGTTCTGCCACAGGTCCACTCCGCCCATGTAGCTGCCAATGTTCAGCACCAGCACTCCTTCCAGCTCCTGGTGAAAGGATGCATGTGCGCAAGTGTGGTCGCGTGAGGCACGGAGAAATGTACACAATTAGCACCCATGTGAAGTGGAGTAGCTGCGGATGCTCTGAGCCAACACGCCCTCTAACTCCTGCCACGGATGACGTCAGACAGGAACGCCAATCCATCCACATGAACTTGCGTGCGAGCGTGCACGTCAGTGTGCACGTAAGTCACACACCACCGCACCCCACCCCACCCCACCCCACCCCACCCCACCCCACCCCACCCCACCCCACCCCGCTCCGCCCCACCCCGCCCCACCGCACCTCTGACATGGCCGCATCATGCCTGTCTATCTCCACGTGCCATGCAGGTTGCTAAAAGCTCCTGCCGACACCATACTGCACCCCACAACACCCACCCCACCCCGCCCAACCCCGCCCCACCCCACCTCGCCTCGCTCCACTCCGTCGCACTGCACCGCACGACTGGAATGACCACCTTGCGGCCGTCGATCTCCAATCGCACATGCCACAGGAGGTTTCTAGAAGCTCCCTTCACACCATGCTGCACCATAAAACACCCCGTCCCAAACCGCCACACCCGACCCAACCCCACCCAACCCAACCCCACCCGACTCAACCCCGCCGCACCTCTGGAATGGCGACCTCGCGGCCGTCAATCTCCACGCGCACGTGCCATGGCAGGTTGCTGCAGCTGCGGTCCACAAAGTCCCGCGCGCCCTCCGTGGCATATAGCACCTTGTTCAGGAACTGAGGGGGGGAGGGAGAGGATGGGGTGAGATGGGGTGGAAGTGGGGTGGGATGGGGTGAAATGCGGTGGGATGGCTTACAGCTGCGGTCCACAAAGTCCCGCGCGCCCTCCGTGGCATATAGCACCTTGTTCAGGAACTGGGGGGGGGGGGGGGGGGGGGGGGGGGGGGGGGGGAGGGATGGGGTGAGAGGGATGGGGTGAGATGGGGTTTGATGGGGTGGGATGGGAAGGGTTGCAGCTGCGGTCCACAAAGTCCCGCACGCCCTCCGTGGTATACAGCACCTTGTTCAGGAACTGGAGGGTGGGTGGGGGCGGAGGAGGTGGGATGGGGGAAAATCGGGTGGGAGTGGGGTGGGATGGGGTGAGATGGAGTGGGAAGGCTTGCAGCTGCGGTCCACAAAGTCCCGAGCGCCCTCCGTGGCATATAGCACCTTGTTCAGGAACTGGGGTGGTGGGGGGGAAGAGGATGGGGGAGAGGGGGAGGATGGGTGCTTCTACGCGTTTTCGAAAACAGCCCGACACAGCTGCAGCGCATGGTGTGTGAGGGAGGCAGCAGGAAGAGATGGCGGGTACCTGGTTGTAAAACATATCGAGAATATGGGTGATTCTCCTCCCTCTGAAGGTCATTCTTGAAGCGCCTCATATTCCTGTTAAGCAGCAATGGCCAGGATGGCGCTCACCTGGTTGTAGAACATCTCGGGAATATGGGTGATTCTCCTCCCTCTGAAGGTCATTCTCGAGGGAGGAGAATCCCGAGGTGTAAACCTCATATTCCTGTTGAGCAGCAAGGCCATGACCCACCTGGTTGTAGAACATTTCGGGATTCTCCTCCCTTAGGAGATGGATTTCCAGAGCGACCTTTGCATCGCACCCCACACCTGCCCACCCATGCACGTGGATGCACACACACAGACACACACATGCATGCATGCATGCATGCGCACGCACACACCCATGCATGCCACACACGCACACACACATGCAGAACACGAGCGGATGCGGTGCCTCATCGGCATAAGGAGAAGAAAACCAAGCTTCCTACATTAGACCGAAACGTATGGACATAAAACACCAATCGGACAGCACAAAAGCCGCATGGCACAATCAGAAAAGCAGTGACACGTGCAGAACCAGGTGCTAGTAACAAATGCGGGAAAGGAATCCACTAAACAACTCGCTTACCCAGATAATTGTTCATATACTTGGGCTGTAGACCCTCCTCCCTCCCCTCCTCCATCCCCTTCTCCTTCCCCTTCTCCCTCTCCTTCCCTTTCTCCCGCTCCTTGCCCTTCCCCCCTGCCTGCCCCGCAGCAGCAGCAGCGTGAGCAGAGGCAGCTGCAGCAGACGCAGAAGCGAGGGCTTGAGAAGAGGCAGTGATGCTGGGTCCAACAGCAGCGTCAGCAGCAGCAGACCCAGCAGCAGGATGGAAGGTGACAGCCCATCGGTCCAGAATGGCAATGGGCGCGTTTTCTATGCTCAGCAGCACGGAAAGCAACCCGCCCTGAGAGGTAACAGCGTGGGGATGTGTTGGGTGGAAAGGGGGAGGGGGAAGGGGAAGGGGGGAAGGGGGGCGGGAGGAGGGAGGTTACAGCCCATTGAGTCGACAACAAAAGGAACCGGCAGCAGGATGGAAGGTGACAGCCCATCGGTCCAAAATGGCAATGGGCGCGTTCTCTATGCTCAGCAGCACGGAAAGCAGCCCTCCCTGAGAGGTGGCAGGAGGAAGGAGAAAAGGGGAAAAGGGATGGGGATGCTATGATGGTAAGATTGAAGTGATGGCAATGGGCGCGTCTTCATAAGGTGCCTAGATAGAAAATGAACCCGCCAACCCCAACACACCCACCTGTCGTTCGACTGCACCGAACCCACCTCCCCAGCCCAGCACGCGCAATTCAGAGGTGCCTAGAATCTGAACCCGCCAACCCCAACACACCCACCCACCTGTCGCTCCACAGCACCGAACCCGCCTTCCCCCTTTCCTTCCCGGTTTCACCATGTCTCTTCTTCCCTCCGTAAGCCTCCAGACCTGACACCGACCCTACCACTGTCTCCCTCTCTCACCTGTCGCTCCACAGCACCGAACCCGCCTCCCCATCCCAGCACGCGGGCCAGGTCGTTGCCAGTGCCTATGGGCAGCACGGCAACGGGCGGGGGGATGTCGTAGCCGCGCTTCTCTATCGCGCCCAACACCCACCCCACCGTGCCGTCTCCCCCGCACACCAGCACCCGGAAGTTGGGTACATGGTCAAACAGAGAGAGCCCGTACTCGGGACCCCGGTCCTTGGATAATTCCACCACCTGGAACAAAAGGTATAGATTTCAGACAAGGCCGTGTAGCATGAGAAGAGTGTCTCCCCCGCACACCAGCACCCGGAAGTTGGGCACGTGGTCGAAGAGAAAAAGCCCGTACTCGAGACCCCGGTCCTTGGATAATTCCAACACCTGCAGTGGATGTTGGCGGAGGAGAGAGAGTCCACTTTTGAGTTTTGAGATGCCTTAAAACAAGCACCCGAGCACCCGAGCACCCGAGCACCCGGAAGTTGGGTACATGGTCGAACAGAGAGAGCCCGTACTCGGGACCCCGGTCCTTGGATAGCTCTACCACCTGAGGTGGGGATGACAGAATGGATGTTGGGGAGGAGAGAGAGAGAGAGAGAGATAGTCTGTGCGCCTCAAGAATAGCCAATGCACACCAGCACCCGGAAGTTGGGTACATGGTCGAACAGAGAGAGCCCGTACTCGGGACCCCGGTCCTTGGATAGCTCTACCACCTGAGGTGGGATGGATGTTGGGGGAGGAGAGGGAGGCCACTTTTGAATTTTGAGACGCCTTAAAACAATAGCACCCACACCCCAACACCAGGAAGTTGGGCACGTGGTCGAAGAGAGAGAGAGCACGTACTCGGGGCCCCGGTCCTTGGATAATTCCACCACCTGTCACAAACAGGAGAGAATTCAGATGTTGGGTTTGAAGAAAGGTTGGGGTGTTGTTGTGCATGAGGAAAGGTTGGGGTGTTGTTGTTGTATACAAGGGCCGTATGTACTTGGGGCTCTGACCTAGGACAGCCTTTTGAGTCGACTCAAAAGTCAGCTCGGGGCTCTGACCTAGGACAGCCCTACCGCCTGCTGTTGCAATTGCAGGAGGAGAGACAAGGAGGTTCAAAGTAATGCAACACTGAACGCGAAAGGCTTGCACACCTCTCCTCTCCCCCTCAAAACGCCCTGGCGTGCGGGGCCTTAGTCCTTACAAAGCTGTACCATCTGGTTGGTTCAGTGCGAATGAAGCATGCTGGGAGCTTCCGTTGAGCGCGCACCCACCTGGATGGGGTTGAGCAGCATGTTGAAGCAGCGCTTGAGAGCAGAGCCGTGCTGTGCGACGTCGTGAAACTCAATTTGTTTCTAGATGTCTCACAACTAAATTCAGTCAAGCACCCACCCACCTGGATGGGGTTGAGCAGCATGTTGAAGCGGCGCTTGAGAGCAGAGCCGTGCTGCGCCCCGCTGCGCTTGTTCACAAACACCAGCAGCGGCCGCGCGTCTGCTGGCAGGTTCACAATCTCGTACTGCTGCTGCTGCTGCTGCTGCAACTGCTGCTGCAGCAACGGCTGCTGCTGCTGCTGCTGACGGTTGTGTTGCTGTTCCTGCTGCAGCTGTGCCGCCCTTCTACCTCCAGCAACTCCCCTCTCACCCACGGGTTGCCTGTCCAGAACCCTGCCCTCCCTGCCCTCCCTGCCCTCTCGTTCACACGACCCGTCACTACCCTCCCCTTGGGACAACACACAAGCCTCCCCTCCTCCTCCTTTCTCCGTATCCCCTGCACTAAACCCACTCAGATTTCGAACACCAGCACCACCAGCAGCACCAGCAGCACCAGCAGCACCAGCACCTGCAGCAACAGCACCATTAACATTACCATTACCACCAACGCCATTGCTGCTCGCAGCACTGGAGCTGCTCGTACTACTAGCATCCATGTTGTTGTTGCTGTTGTTGTTGTGCGTGCGGCCACCATTCACCCTCACCCACTCCCCGCCACCGCCCACCGACGATGACCCACTAGGTGACGACGGAAGCCCCCCATCAAACCCGCTTATAAGCCCATTCGTTAACAGCATAGCCTCCGCTTCTGGAAAATCCGCCCCTCCTGCTCCCAACCCACCCTGCCCCATCACCCCTCCATCCCCATTTCCATTCCCATTCCCATTCCCATTCCCATGCCCAGTCCCGTTCCCGTTTCCATTCAGCAGGTCAGCAGAACTGGCCACTTTCTTAGCACGTCTCTTGGCCCGTTTCCTGATCGAACGGTTCACATTGCTCGCCAGCTCGCCCGCATTCTGCCGCCAGGAGGAGATCAAATCCCGCATGCCTGAAGCAGCGGCCGCAGGACTATACCCAAACGCCGAGCCACCACCAGCAGCACCACCAGCAGCACCACCAGCAGCACCAGCAGCAGCACCGAAACCACCGCCGCTGGTACTAACACCAACGGCGCCTCTCTCGCGCACGCAGAGAGGCGAGACGATGGAGCGGCGCAGGGCGCCAAAGTCGCAGGGGTCCTCGCCGGCTTTCATGACTGCTGGACGACAGAACACGTGCACCAGGCGCTGACACCACACACAGCGCCACACTGGCTTGCCCGTGCTGAATACGGATTTGACCTGGTGGGGTGGGGGTGGTGGGGGAGAGAAACGGGGTGAATGTGGCGGAAGGTAAGGGGTTGAGGAAGGCTACCGGCACACACACACAGCGCCACACGGGCTTGCCCGTGCTGAACACCGACTTCACCTGGTGGGGTGGGGGTGGGAGGGTGGAGGTGGGGATGGGGGTGCAGGGTGAGTGTGGGGGGAGGGAAAGGATGACGGGAGGCTAGCACCACACACACACAGCGCCACACGGGCTTGCCCGTGCTGAACACAGACTTCACCAGGTGGTGCGGAAATCGGGGTGGGTTTGGGGGTGGGGTTGGGGTTGGAGAGTGGGAGGGTGTGGCCAGTGTTGGGGGAAGAGAAAGGATGGGAAGGCTACCAGCACACACTGGCTTGCCCGTGCAGAACACCGACTTCACCTGGTGGGGCGGAGGTGGAAAAGTGTGGGGAAGGGGAAAAAAGGGGGGATATGTGCCGATTATTACCGCACACACAGCGCCACACCGGCTTGCCCGTGCTGAATACAGACTTCACCTGGTGGGGTGGGGGTGGGATGATGGGATGAGGATGTGGTTGGGGTGGCAGTGGGAAGTGGGGTGAATGTGGGTGGGGGAAGGGAAAGGATAGGACGGATGGCAGCACACACAGCACCAGACCAGCTTGCCCGTGCTGAACACAGACTTCACCTGGTGGGGGTGTGGTTTTGGGAGTGTGGTTGCGGGGTTGTGGAGTTGAAAAAAGAGCGTGGGGTGAGAGGAAGAGGGGAAAGGGGTTGGAAGTTGTCTAATATCACCCCCACCCCCACACCCACCCACATCCCCACCCACACCCACACCCACACCCACACCCAACACTGGCCCCGTGCACCAACCCCTTCTGGGGCGCCTCACAAATCACTCGCCCCATTCTCCAATGTGCTCCCTGCGTGAAAGCACGCACCCACCTCTTCATCGCACAGCATGCACTTGAGGCCCTCCTCGATCTTGGGCTGACTCAGAAGCCAGCTAAGTTACCAGAATGCAAGCACGCGCCTCTTGGTCGTACAGCAACACCAGCCCACCCACCCACCCAAGCACACACCTCTTCATCACAACAGCAAGTACCCACCCACCCACCCTCCCACTCACCTCTTCATCGCACAGCATGCACACGAGGTCCTCATCCTGCCGGTCCTCTTCGATCTTGATCTGGCTCGCCTCCACCCACTGGTGCGCCACGCTGCGCCCCGTCATCGCCACGCGCTTGCAGTCGCGGCTCGCCGCGCCCACGCACTCCTCGTGCGCCGTCACTCCGCACACGGAGCACCGATCCACTCCCCCTCCCCCTCCTCCGCCTGCCCCTCCCCCTCCGCCTGCCCCTCCCCCTCCGCCTGCCCCTCCCCCTCCGCTTCCTTCCTCCTGATTCGCCCCTCCATGGATGTCCGCAGCGCCTAAGCCAGCCCCGATCGCCCCCTGCCCTCCCCCCATCGCTTCCCCCTTCCCCGCCCCCTTCCCCTCGCCTTCCTCCGCCAGGTTCCGCCACCTCCCCGACCTCCCCCCTCTCCCTCTTCCCCTCTTCCCTGCTCTCCCTCCCCGCGGAGTCGGCGCTATTCCCGCCTCTTCCCCTTCACACCTACCACAACCGATCCCCAACTCCTCGGGAAAATCCCCCGCCTCTTTTCTTTTCCACCTGAGTCCCTCCGCGCCTCCTGCGCTTCCTCCTTTACCTGATGCTTCCTCGCCGCTGCTCCCTCCCCCTCCCCCTCCCCCTCCACCCCCATCCGCTCTCTCCTTCGTCTTATCGATTTCTTCCATACACACGCAACAGGTGATCGGGCCAGGAAGGTTCTTCGACGGTTCCACGAACCACGAGTGGTCGGCGAGCGGCATGTCGCCGCGTCGCATGAGCGCGTGGCGAAGGAATCCCGCGGCTTTCAGCCGTGCGACGGACAGCTGCAGCTGCCAGTGTCGCACGGTGCGATGGACGACGAATGCGACGAGGAGCGTGAGGAGGAGGAAGGCGATAGACCAGCCAGTGAGGAGGGAGAACGGCCACCCGGGCGGAAACACGTCGGAAAACACAAATAGCGTGCTGTTGCTGCTGCTTACACCGCTGCCTATCCCCCGCCCCCGCCGCCGCTGCCGCCGCTGCCGCCGCCGCCGTCGTTTCCTGCCTCAGCGGAATCCCATCCCAAAGCCCAACTGCTTCCTGATCCTCCATCCCCGCTGTAGCCCGCTCCGCTACTGGCCCTGCCAATCGCCTCACTAGTGGAGCTCAGAAACGCGGCCAAGATGCCCCCAAAGCCGCCGAACGTGAATCCAGCGCCCGTGCTGCGACAGCCGGCGGGGTACGGCGGAAGCGCTATCCCCGCCGCGCCAATCGCGGCGCCGCAGCTGCCTCTATCGGAGGGACCAGGCCCGCTGCTGCCCGGACAGACATCGCCGCCGCTAATCCCGCTGCTACCGCTAGTGCCGCTGCTGCCGCTGGTGCTGGCACCTGAGAAGGGATCTGGTGCGGTTGTGGAGCAGAAGGGAGCGCTGGGGTGACAGCAGTGGCCATGGCGGCCCATGAAGATATTGGCGAGGGGATCCATGTGTCATGGAGGAGAGGAAAGAGGAGAGACCAGAGAGGAGAAAGGAGAGAGGAGCGAGCAGAGCTAGCGAAGAGACAGGAGAGATAGCGGAGAGACGGTGAGAGGCGAGGAGGCGGGAAAAGAGGAAAGAGGAGATTTTGAATTGTAAGATCGGATTAGAACCAAGAATTGGCGCGGAGAAGAAGAGGAGCCGAAGAGAGCAACGGTTAAGCTGGATATAACTGAGTCGCTTTTGAAATTTCTCAAAAGTTAAGCTGGATCTTGAAGTCTAGGAGGCGAGTGCGCGCGCCAACGCTACAACCATCAGAGACAGCTGACGGTTTGGCAACGTATACGTGCGAGCGAGTCAGAAACCGAAGACTGCATGTTGTCGTCATCTAGCAGAGGGAGGCGGCGGCTGCTGCTCTCTGTGCTGCTGCTGACTCGTACCGCTGCTACTGCTGCTGCTGCTCGCACCCCTTTCGATGGCTGCATGCCGTCCGCAACTCAGGCAGCTTTCCTTTTTAAAGGGTAATTTACTGGGAAGCGTTCATCGAAAGGGAGCTCGAATTCAACCTAGTTACCTAATCTACACATGCAAGAAACGAAGTTTCCGCTACTGAAACTATACCTAGAAAACATCGCGTCTCTAAGACTGGCCCAATTGAGAAGCAGAAACACTTGGCTATCGAATCACGGATGGGAAACTGTGGCAGCCACGATGAAGTAGAGGATTAAAACGCACTTCACTGGCAGCCACGTCCACCAAGGCGTGAAAGAGAACCAGTTCGGGTGATGCGGCTCGTCAAAGCGAGCATGCACAAAGAAGTCGTCAATGGGTGGGACCATAGAGCATGTGCTGCTGCTGTGCGGCGACGAATGGCGAAAAGCGCAGGTGAGGTGGCCCTGAATTCTGTTGGGAGGTGGGTGGGTTTGATTTGAATCGGATGGTGCAGCAGAAGAAGAACTTGGGGGCATGACATGAGCATTCACCTTGATGCGGTTTGATGCGTTTCGCTTACTTCCGAAAGCGGTTGAAAGGACAACTCTGTCGTGCCCTAGATGCCATGTTCGGCAGCGTGGTTGTGCGTGGTACAGTACGTAATGGTTCGGTGAAGCCTTGAAGTTGGGTCTCCCCTGTGGCTGTGCTCCCGTGCCTTGTGCCTCTCGTTCGTGACTCGTCGTGGGGTCATGTGACTCAATGTCCCCGTGTGTGTGCTGTCCTGGTTGGTGGGTGGTGGTGGTGGGCTGGCATTGAAAACAGACTTTCCATTTGGTCAGGGTGGCGAGATCGGTCGCCAGATTGCCCTCGACTTTCGCCTCGTGCTGCCAGATATTTAGGTGGTGCGGCCGCCAGTACCAGAAATGTCGGGCATGATAGCAAGTTCTGGAGTATTCGGGCAGGATAATGTTAGCGCCATTGCGCCCCCAGAGATCCAGAACTGTAACCGACGGACGCGATTCGATGACCAAGTTATCTGGGGAGAAAAACACGGCCATTGGTTGCTGTCCAATCTGTGAGGAGCATGCCACATCAACCTGCCCAAATACAAAACCTGGGTGTAGAAGGCGACTACTCCTACGAAGGTCTTCCAAATTGTAACGAAGTTTCGAGAAACAGCGGCCCGACTTCACACTCAATAACATAGTAAAGCGTACGCAGCACTCGCAGCGAATTGTTGAACTAATATTCACTACTTCAGTACTTCGTTCCAAAACCGGTTATCGATGGAATAAAATCGGTTATAGATATTCAATTATATAATCGTCCCCCAGGAAGACGGGAGACCAAGAATAAAAGAATTTACCAGGGGAGGAGCTAGACGCGGAAGTGAACCCTACTCACGGTTTATGACACCAGAGGCAGCTAGAACTGAGGTACATACAATGCTCTGGACTCCAATTCACAAACTGAGGGATACGAAAAGGCAGGGCTGATTTTATCAGACTATTTTAGTCTGATTGTCTGAACTCTGAAGGCCTCTGACTGTCAAATGTTGTAGCCTATAGTGAGGTTTGTCTTAGGGGGTACAAAACTTAGGGTTAGCTATATGTACCCCAACCAACATCAATGCATCATTCATTCCTCATTCTGACATGGTATCAGTTAGGTTAGGATCCTGTGGGATCCCGTTTCTCCGTTCTCCGATCGTACCACCCGAGCCTGATCCTAGCTCTCGTTTCGCCCGTCTTGCCCGAGCCTAGTGCCGGCCCGATCTAGTCCCGTTCGTTCGTTACCGCTCGTTCTTCCTCCCGATCTAGCGTAGCCCGATCTAGCGTACCGCTGCCGGTCGCGCTGCGCTTTCCCCCCCGTTTCCCGTCGACCCGCGCTTCCCCCGCCGCCCGTCGACCCGCGCTTCCCCCCGCTGCCTGT